GGAGCTGCTGGCGAAATCCTCCTTCCCCAGGCAGGTGGGTGGGTATCTCCGGTGGGAGACGGCTGCTTTGCAGCTCCCTCCAGCTCTGCACCCCGTGCCCAGCTGCTGGAGGGGAGGTTTTGGTTGCACCGTCACCCCCCTCGCTGCAGCTCCGGCCATGAGAGAGGGGGAGGCTCCGAGGTCTCTCCCTGCGAGCGCTGAGGTTTTGAAAAGATGCTGATCTCCTTGGTTTTATTCTGATTTTTGCCTCCTCCCCTTCCAGCCCTCCTTCCCCCCTCCCCTCAACACACAGCCTCCTAAAGAGGAAATCTGATAATATTTATTTACAGCTGAGCATGGGGATGGGAACTGCCAGCTGGGGACTTTCTGCATTTGCCTCATTGTGTTTTGAGGGACAATGATGAGAAACCCGCAGCCTGGCACCTCCTGGAAAGTGCCTCTTTGCAGGTTAACTGCCTGACTTCAGCATCTGGGGGGTTCCTGAGCCACCCCAGAGCCGTGTGGAGGTGATGCCCCGAAGGGAGAAAGGCGTGAGTGGGACGGCAGAGCAGAGGTTGCCTTTGAAAGTGGGGACAGACCTCAGGGCAGGCAGTAGGGTCGCCGTTGCTGCTCCGTGTGTTGTTACAGGTGGAGAAACTGAGGCTGGAGAGGAGGGGGGGGAAGGACCCCGTGCCTGGTTTGCCCGCCAGCTAATAGCAGAGGTGGAAGGAGAAGTGCCACATCCAGCGCTCCCTCTGCAAGTCTCACTTCTTCCTGCGGGCATCTGTTGGGAAGATGAGATAATTAATGACCGTGCTGGGGTTTTTTTGTTTTGGTTTTGTTTTTTTTTCGGCTTGAACTTATGACTTTTATTGCTACTTGCATCTCAAGGAAATGGTTGTGACTTGGTTCTCTGTGTGGTGCCTGTGCATGCAGCATCGTTGCTGGGAGCAGCCACCGAGCGGGATGCAGCCACTGCGCATCCTCCCCACCGGGCTGGGCAGAAGCCGGGGGCAAAGGGAGAAGGCAAGGGCTGCTGCAGAGCTGGGGGAAGCTCTCCTGTTGCACGCTTTCTCCATCCAGGGGGATGTTTTATTCCCAAGTTGAGACCTGGATGTGCACGTGGGTGCGATGAGAAGGCCAGGTGCTCCAGGTTGAGCCCAGATCTTGGCCAGCCTGCACCAAACAGTCTGAAAACGGGCTCTCCTGCTGCTGCAGGACTGCAGGTATTGCCTGGGGTCGTGCAAAACCATCCCGTTGGACATGTCACGAGCAGTTAGCTGCTCACGGCTGTCTCTGATGGCATCCCTGGGTTTTTTCTTCCCCCTCTTCGGTTCTTCTGGAGGTTGCTGCAGGCAGTGAAATGAGTCACCGTGGTACGACTGGACCACTGTGCAGAGGCAGTGTAGCGGAGGAGCACAAACTTGGGCGTGCGTAGACAGGTCGCCCTCACCAGCGTTGTGTTGTGAATCTTTGAGCGTTTGTCCTTCTAGTGCATGGTGCCATTTGGAGACACAGATGTCCGCACAGAACTCCCTGTTCAGCGGGGCTGTTGCATCTCTTTCCCCACCCCCCGCCCCCGCTAACTGCTGTTCTGGTGTCTTGCAGGCACAGAAGAATAAGGCAGAATGGATGTGTATGACCCTCAGACGCTGGGTGTTATGGTCTTTGGAGGTTTTATGGTGATATCAGCCATCGGGATCTTCCTGGTGTCCACCTTCTCCATGAAGGAGACATCTTACGAAGAAGCCTTGGCCAAGCAACGCAGAGAGCTTGAGAAGACCCAGCAGCAGAAAATAGAGAAAAAAAAGAAAGAGAAACCTGTCGAGAAAAAAGGAAAAGCAAAGAAAAAGGAAGAGAAGCCTAATGGAAAGATCCCAGAGCAGCAGCTGACTCAGGAAGCGACGGACTCCCCCAAGGATGCGGTTCCTGAGCCTGCTGCGGTGCCTGAGCCTGTAACGGTTGAGTCTCCTGTCACAGTGGCATCAGTCACCCCCCAGGAAAAGGAGAAACCTGCTCTGTCACCAAAGGAGAAGAGGAAGAAGGAGAAGAAGGAGGCAAAGGCAGAGCCTGCTCCCAGCCCAGTGTTGGCTTCTCCTCCTGCCAGTGTCCCCAAAAGCTCTCCCATCTTGGAGGTGACCCCCAAGGAGGTGCCTGTGGTGGCCGTGCCACCGGTTGGCACGCAGCAAAGTGCTCCGGTCATCAGCTCTGTTGCCATCAAGAAAGCCGATGCTCTCCCAACTCATGAGGAGCAGAAGCACGATGGACCCATCAAGAAGAAGGCTGCATCCAAGAAGAAGAGCGAGCCAGGTAAGGCCACATTCCTCTGCGTAGATCCTCATCATGTATGCCACCAGGGTCCCTTGGTGCTATTCAAACAGGGCTATCCTGTTCTGAGATCTCTTCGTTCTTCTTCAGTGTTGGAAACAGGGCTGTCTCTGGTGAGATGGACCATGTGCGCCAGGGGGAAGGTGGGTTGAAAGAGTCCACTGTAGTTCTCCCTGGGGGGAAGCAGGGCTGAAGTCGAGAGTTTATGGACTTGTTTTCACTCTGTAATGCATTGCCTTTTGCATCGTGTGCCCCTGCTTGCTGTTCAGCTCCTTGGGTCCAGCACACAGATGCTGGCGACTCACGGGTTCCTCTCCTCTTTGCTGTTGTGTTGTGGGTCTCTGAGCAGATCTGCACACCGAGAATGACTGGGAGGTGTGTGTACCTGCCCTGGGAGGGAGGGCAGCTGCCGAGATGCTGGACGTCTGGGCGGAAAGCCAAGGCAAGGTGTTTTCCCCTTCCACCTCTGATGAGTAAAAGCACACAGCAGCTCCGCTGTTCTTCTGCGGGGTGGTGGGTCACCGGTAGAGTTTCCTCCTTCTTCAGTGGAGGCAAGAAAGCCTGCTGGAGGAGAGAGGATGGCAGGGATTTTGTATTGTGGGGGATTGATCGCAGGATAGTGAGAGGGAAGCGACTTTGGATATGTCACAGGGAAGGGAAAACTTGCCCATCACCATTTGTGCCTCACTTGAATGACTTGGAGATGGAAGAGGTGAAAGAAGGTGGTCCTGAACTCTCCAGGGCATAAGTAGGTGTAGGGAGGGGAGGAACAGCTCTGTGGCTGGGTTCTCACCTCTCGTCGCAGTGTGAACAGTTTGGATTTCAGGCTAAGTGACGACTCCAGGCACTAAATTGTGAGTGCTTCCAGACCTGCAGAAGTGTTCCCCTGTGGACACGTGGGAGGAGTCTCTCCGGTGTTCTCAGAGATGTGATGTGGTGTGCATAGCTGTCCTTTCTTTATTTATTTATTAAAAAAAAAAAAACCAAAAAAACAACCAAACAAAAAGACACCCCTACTTGCCAGCTTTCTGCAGCACATCCAGACCTCGGCTGCTGGGTGACCTGGTTTCCACCCCCTATGGAAGCTGCGACTCTGCTCCTCAGCAGGACATTTTGTGGCTGCTGGTCTCCAAGGTTGGGTTAAAAACCCTTGCGAGGAGAGGATTTCCCTAAAGGTTGTCTCCATGCGGTGATGATGTTCGGAATGGTTTGAGTGGCCGGTGCTGGAGGGTATCACAGAGACGGTATTGGGCAAACTGGGGGTGGCTGGTTTGGCACGTGCACGCAGGGATGCGCCGGAGCCCACGCTGTGACAGCAAGAGCCGTGCTCTCCCGTGAAACATGCGTGGGTATCCCACCCGGGCTGCCACCTCCTGGGCGTGGGGCTCTACGCAAGGGCCACCCGTGTCTCCTGTGTCCCCTTTGGGCTGGAGAAGCAGCTTCTCAGCCCCCTCGTCCCTGCTGTGCTTTCCTGTGGCAGCCTTGCCGCACGTCTGCTTCTTGTTTTTCCACTTCCTTCGGTGGGGCACGAGGTTTCCGACTCTGCAGACGGGCTCGGTGGCAGCACAGGCTTCCTTTGGCCGTGGCTTGGCGGGCTGCCCCGGCTCTGTTTGCCGGCTGCAAGGTGGGGTTTGCGTCGTGCTCGCCTCGTGCCAGGCTTGCTTGCACGGTGCCACCGGGAGATGGGCACAATTCCGCTCGATGGGTCCCAGCGCGACCAAGCCAGGGGATGCGATGTGCCGTCCTGCATCCGTGCTGCTGCCGGTGTGAGTAAAGTGTGAGCAAAGCTCTTGAGCCCCCGACGGTGGAGCTGCCCCGGCCACGCTGCTGGGAAGTGGCTGATGGTGCTGCTGTGGGCACGGGGCGGCGCTCGCGGCCCGG